GGTTTTATACAAACAATAGGCTTTATAATTAACAATGCGGGATATTGGTAGACTTGGATATTAATTTAGGTAGACTTAAGAGTGTTGGGTAGACTTTAGAGTGTTGGTAGACTTTATAGTGTCATTGGACTTTAAGAGTGTTGGGTAGACTTTAGAGTGTTGGTAGACTTTATAGTGTCATTGGACTTTTAGAGTGTTATTGGACTTTAGAGTGTTAGGTAGACTAGTGTTTGTAGACTTATTGTTAGTAGACTTATTGTTGGTAGACTTTAGAGTGTTAAAATACTTGAGTGTTGGTGGACTTTCAGAGTGTTTGTAGACTTTATAGTGTTAGGTAGACTTTATAGTGTTAGATAGACTTTAGAGTGTTGGTAGACTTTAGAGTGTTTTTGGACTTTTAGAGTGTTATAAGAGTGCAGACGTGGTGTTAGGTAGACTTCAGAGAGTTAGTAGACGTCAGAGTTTTAGTTGACTTAAGAGTGTTTGTAGACTTTAGAGTGTTTGTAGACTTTAGAGTTTTAGGTAGACTTTATAGTGTTAGGTTGACTTTACAGTGTTAGGTAGACTTTAGAGTGTTAACATATTTTGTATCCAGTAATCTGTATTCTGCATCCCGTACTCCGTATCCTGTATCCTGTATCCTGAATCCCGTACTCCGTATCCTGTATCCCATATCCTGTATCCTGGTGTATCTCAGATTTATCTCGAGCTTTTATAAAAGAAGAAAACTGTCTGTCTAGCTTTTCAACTATCTTTTCTTTTATCTGTACATAGAGCTAGCTCTAGAGAAATAGTGATATCATTATACATTTATATTAATATTATTATTATACATTTATATTAATATCATTATACATTTATATTAATATTATTATTTTTAGGCAAGACNAGAACTTATATTCAGGGCATCATAATACTAATTTTGATACGAATGATATGATACGAGTGAATGTGTTCACTTTTTTTTAATGTTAAGATGGAACTCACTTTTCTCCGCAAATACTCTCAAACTACACTTATAAAGCCGAAAATGGGATTTTTAGTGACCCAATGAAACTGTCAACTATGATGGTACATTAAAGATACAATTTTTATATTATCGTCATTTCGATCCACTAAAATTCAAAATTATTCAAAATTTAGATTTTCCGGTCTAGCGGAATTTTACGCGGCAATTCGGAATGGGACCGAGTTTGATTTAATTGTTTTTTCTGTCGGTTCCATACGCGTAAATATGCTAATAAGTAAAATGGTCGAAACAACGCAGTCAAAATCGCTTCCGGGGCAGTGTGGGGGAGGAATTATAAAATATTTTATTTTTGTATGGAAACTAATCTCCTCTAAGAAGTCAATCCACTCAACTTAGAACTTTTAAATTAGACTAAGAACATTCCTGTGGTTCTACCAAGTTCCCCAATCAAAATAAATTGGTCTTGGGGTTCTTTAGTTATGATCCGACATTTAATCTAAGCAGAGATCTCAACCTCTATATATGTATAATGTTTATTCTGTATATATGGCTGTTTGTTTGTTTGTATCCAAAAACGTCAAAACGGCTGAACCGATCTGGTCCAGATTTTGTACTGGACCTCTCATGATCCGAGGAATGGATTATGGATGGTCGAATTTATTTTGGGTTCAATTCTTCCAATTTTTTGGCTGCACGCCTAATTAGTCATCGAAATTCCTTAAATCAAATCAAATCAATTAAATTTTAATGACCACAAATAGAAAATATTTCAACTATGGCTTTAAATTATGCATATCAAACGAAAGCTAGGAACCCAGGGAATACAGTGGCAGCAACAAATCCAGTGTTTGACCATCTAATGACCTCTAATGTCCTAAAATGACCTCCAAAATGAAAATGTTTGTACTGTGGCTATATGTATATAAATCAAAAGCTAGGAACCCAGGGAATACAGTACATCAAAGAAAGAAGAAGCTGGGTGTTGTTAAATGAATAGGGTCAAAAATAATATCCCCCCCCCACCGATTTTCTTTTCTGTTTTTATTTTTCAGTAGAGGTCATTAGAAGGTCAAATACTGGATTTGTTGCTGCTACTGTATTCCCTGGGTTCCTAGCTTTAGTTTGCTAAACATAAAGCCATAGTTAAAACATTTTGGAGGTCATTTAGGTCATTAGAGGTCGCAAGAGATTAATAGACCAAACACTGGATTTGTTGCTGCTACTATATTCCCTGGGTTCCTAGCTTTCGTTCGATATGCATGAAGCCATAGTTGAAATATTTTCTATTTGTGGAGGCCATTAAAGGTCATTAGAGGTCATTAAAATTCCATTTGATTTTATTTTAGGAATTTCGATCACTAATGAGGCGTGCAGCCAANGGGCCCCCCCCCCCTACATCAAATAGGACATCTCCACCATCCCCTTTTATAAATTCACGAACTTTTTTTTTAAATCCGCGACATTTTTTGCTTTTGTTTGTTCTTATCTTCTTCATGAGGCCACACCAAAAATTTAAGCCGAATTACTTCGGCTCTTTTTTAAACGTTTTTTAACCGACCTTCATTTTTCACTTATTCTTTGTATCAGGATTTGGATAAAACTGAAAGAGAAAGAGCGGACCGCAGGAAGAAAGTTAAACCAAGCAAAGAAAAGAAGAGAAAGAAGAGTAAGAAGAAGAAGAAATATAGAAGTGAGTCGGAAAATGAATCTGATTCCGGTTCCGACTCTGATTATGTTGATTAGATAATTTTTTAAAATATTTCAGTGACTTGAAAAAAAATATCAAAAAACTATTTATGTAATAACTTAAGATATTTAAGATTTCTGGACACTACTAGTGAAAATTGTGGAAAGTGGAAATAACGTTGTATATTTTGTAAACAGTGTACTGTACATGTACTGTACTGTACTGTACTGTACTGTAATATTCTTGTGTACAGTTCTAATTGTATACTATCTCTGAACCAGGATTTATATAACAATAAAATGAATTGTCCTACACGGCAGTACACCATTTTATTCATTTTTTATGTCTGAAAATGTTCTGCAGCTGTGGTGTTGACCCTGTTTTGTATTTGTATTCAACTTTATTTCCCAAAGCTGGTATCAAAATTCAAAGAATATAGGTGGATTGTAAGTGACCCTCCAGTGATAGAATCGATAAAATTGATCCCCATCAGAGCCCACAATAGAACCTAGTTTGAGGAAGTATGAATTGGATAATATATAAATAATGTACATATTCACTTTTTGGAAAAATGATTTTTCATATGTGGTTTCTGTGCAAAAGTTGCATGCGCATTTCTTGCCTCCGAAACAATGGCGAAATTCTCAGAATTTAGGAAATCAGTGAAACCACGTTACTCTACACATAATTTATCAGTTAAGGATTCAAAGGGTACAGTTCTGAATCGGACATTCCCCTAAACGATTTCAAAATAATTATCGCTTTTGATCAATTTTTTATCCATTGCGTATTTCTATTAACGTTGTGAACGTTGTGATATGTTTTATGTTGAAATTAGATCTCCAATTTTTGGACAATGAACAAAATTAATTCAAAGTAATTATACTTCAATACTTAAGAACTAAACTTGTGTTCAAATTCAAGTAAAACTAATAATGTGCAAATTCTCTTTAAAGGCGTCTATGCAAAATTCCATCCTTTAATTCAAGGCTTTCCAAAGAGCTATACAAAGTCTAAATCCAATGACCAGAAGTAGGTTTAAATAAAGATTTAGTTGGGTAAAGGTAAAATAAGGCATTCAGGCAGTAGACCCGCTTCGAGCCTAAAGTGAGTGATTAGATAGAAAAGTAAACAAATATGAGAAATGTCTCAGACCAATACTTTTTGAGTTATCCCCCTAAAAAGAGTAAACCTTTTGTTAATATTTTTTTGTAGACACACATAAATACTAACTTTTTAAACGTTCCATTAAAAACCAATAGTTTAAAAGAACCATATTCAAAAACAATAATCCGCAAAATATCAAAAGCAAAATTTATCTTGAAAGAGTAAGTTTTAAAAAACACCACCAGGAGTCGCTAGTTTACTTGCATATTTATTTTATTATCTGATCGAGTCAAATAATATAAACTTTATTCAAAATAATATGAATATATAGGTGTTTTTTTTTAGTTTTCAAGGCTCCACTATTATTAATTTTTGTTATTTTTTCTTCTTCTGAATAAATGCATTAAAACATCTTGATTTTTTCTCATACAAATCATAATTTTAAATTTTTTGAAGAAAACAAATCTTAAATTCATGTTGAAAACAGTGGCGTAAATAAGGGGGGTTATTGGGGTTACTTACCCCCCCCCCTAGAATCCTGGGGTTACTTGCCCCCCTAGAATCTTAGGGGTAATTACCCCCCCCCCCCTTGAATCTTGGGGACACAAACATCCCCGTTTAGTAACTTGATCTCCATTCTCCATGTCCATGATTACCATTAAAAGGCAAAAATGTAAAAAAAATTGTTGCCGCTTCGCGCAGATAATCAACTTTACAACAAAGTAACATAGTTTAATTTTACCCAAAAATTGAGCTTTTTACTGCAGTAGCGTCAGTGGCGGATATAAGGGGGGTTATTGGGGTTATTTAACCCCACCCCTAGAATCCTGGGGGTAAATACCCCCCCTAGAATCCTGGGGGTATATACTCCCCCCTAGAATCTTGGAGGTAATTACCCCTGAACATATATTCAGGCCCTGAATAGCAGGGGTTACTCCACTTGCTGCCTCTACAAGTAATCCCACTTTAATACAGATGCTGCAATAAACCTGAACATTCTTTACGAATGAATGATTTAAGTAGTGCAGGAGGGGAACCATACATTTATAATAAACAAGGCTGGAAGTGAGCAGCCGAATTCCTGACAAAAGAAATCGTCTTTAAAGCAATCCATAATTGTAAGTAAACCTGGGCCAATATGAAAACATAAGTTTAAAAAATATCAACACGCAGCAAAATTCAAACCTTGGACGAGAAATTGTAGCTGACCTTCCTCAACCTCAGAGACGACTAGTGGGGGTCGTGGGGTGGGGGACTTCGGCCTTCTTTGGAAAAATTAGGAGCGCAAGAAGAGAGAGCAAGCACCAGCTAGGCAAGGGGGCCAAGCGCTGCAGCTAGGACAGACTAGTGAGGCAGGCACTGCAGCCACATGACATTGTGTTATATTTGAGATGCATGTACAAAATTTATAGGAGGGGGGCCTGGCCAAAAATCGTTCTCTAGGAAATAGGAGCACCAAAAACCCTTAAGCTGAGGTCAGAAAGATCAAATTGCTTTGTTTTGATTATCAACATATAAAAAATCACTTAATAAACATGTATAGCATACTTTATAGGAGAGGCCGGGGGAAAGACAGGGGATTCAAAAAAGTTCTCTGGGACGTGATGGCCCAAAAAAAGGTCAAAATTCTAGCTTTATATATCAAATAAACAAATCAGATGCGTTGACGTATGTATATATTTCACGACGCCATGTGCCCAATTGCCCCAAATAGTGAATATACCATTACCTTTATATCGATGGTATGGTTTGGTCGTGATTCCTTATTGGTGTTTTAATAAAATCTACGAAATTTTACAAAAAACCGGTTTTGAGAATTCATAGAACCGAACATAGAACATAGTTCAAATTTTCAACGCTAGAGACCACCTTACACAAAAACCATAATTATTAATTGCTTGCAGTTTATGTCTGTCTTTTTAAGATTGCAGTTGTTTAACATTTATTTATCATTTTCCTAATTTTGAAATGTATTTAAGAGCATAATTTTTTAAACTGTTCAATATTAGTTATTTAAATCATTACTCCTTGCACACAAACCTCTGACTGTCAGATTAAGCGGTACGTTGACAATACTATACTTTGTACTTTATGATATATTGGAGCGAGGGATGGTAATTACCTCCGCACAATTATAGAACCTCTAAGCACATATTAGCCTGGTTCTAGAGAGCTAAATACAACTCGATACAAATCCTTCTTGGTGTTATTAAGGGTAGATCATCTGTATACTTTACGCGTTCTTTAGAGGTACAAACACTGGTATTATGCATGATACCGGTATTACAAAGAGTGGTATTACCTAAATCCAGCCGCAGGGTGGATTTAGGTAGGATAATCTACCTTAAATACCGGTATTAGTTTGGTTTGGGTAAATTTCTGGGAAAAGAAAGCTCATGAATTACAGGGATGCATCAAATACCTAGGTATTAAATACTTACATGAATTATTTATCTTCTATCATAAATAAAGAATATATTATAAAAAGTCGTCTTTAATTCTTAAAATTTTTTTTGCTGAGTTAAGTGCTCGAGCATGCGCAAAAAAGGAAAATTTCTATAGAATGGATGATAAAAGGCCGGTATTAGCTAGGATGACTAAAGACCTCTTCAGCTGTTCTATGCTAGATAATCCAACCCCGAATTAGGCAGCATTATCGTCTAAAGAATACGAATTTCCTAAACACTGGTATTAGCGTTAAGAGTGGTATAAGAGTGGTATTAGCTAATACCGCTCTTCTACCACTCTTAAGAGTCATCTTTCTAGAACCGGCCTATTATGTTGGTATTTATGAGTGGGCATCCAATTTTTCTCCAAACCATCTCCTGGGAAATTCTTCTATTAATAATCGTCAATTTCAACTTAAAACGGGACTAATTTGATTATTTAAGCGTACGGTAGTCGATCTGTCGTATCCTATACATTTGCATAATATCTTTTTTTTACAATCAAAGTTCAGGAGAAAATTTATTTTATCTATTTTGCTACGTGTACAACACGTGAAAGAATATTTCCGCGTTTGTTACCCGTGCTTTACATCAGGAGGAATCTTCAAGATTGTGAAGGGAGGGGCATAAATTAAACACGTGAATTCAAACAGTTCTCCATAATATGCTAATCTCGTTGAAAACCTGTGTTTTGTTTGTTGGGTTCTATCCCTTTAATTTTGATTATTGGCCTGCGCTGCCACTTTTTCACTCAAATTTTGAAGATTTAAAAAAAAATCAAATCAATTGCCAACACATGTTTTACCATCCACCCCCTTAAACTGCCCCATGGTTTTGACATAGAAATGGTCAAATTCAGAATTCACTGTAATAAATTCCAGGGGAATACAATTTTCGGCGCTCTTCGCGCGCCCTTTTTTATTATTTCCCCTGGAAAATATATAATAAGCAACAAATTTTAAATATTAAACCAAACCTTGTTTTAATCAATTAACAGTCCCTTAAACAAATACTTGCAGGTTTTATTCAAATCCGTCTTATCCAACTTCAAATCAGAGCTTTATGGTTTGGATCTATTTAAAGGGAGTGGACGCCTAAGGGGGAGGCATGCCCAGTGGCGTACGAGGGGGGCCGCGTCCCCCGCCCCCCCTACGCGTGCTTCCCCCCCCCTGAGAGGCGGAGGGGGGCACTCATGAGGGGAGGCTCTTTTAATATTACATCTGCTTGCATTTCCCTTCCTCAGGCCAGGCACAATGGCGTACCTAGGGGGGCAGTAGTCCTCTTCCCCCCTGGGNAAAATAAATTTGCCCTCAAAATAAATATTTAAGATTTCCCATACACAAATTTGCCCAAACTGAAAAAAAGCCCCCCAAAACAAAATTTGCCACTAAAACAAAGATTTAAGATTTCCTGTAACTAAAACTTGCCCCCAAAAAATAAATTTGCCCCTGAATTATAGATTTAAGATTTTTCCCAAACGAATTTGCCCCTCCTGAAAAGAATCCCCCCAAATATAAAAAATTACCCCCAAAATATCCCGAATTGGTAAGGTAGTTTTTTCTTGGTTGACTATACTTCTGCCCCCCACCCCTCTATACATTTTTAGGAAGGTCCAAAGTTCAAAGATGTTCTTAATTGAGTTTAAGTTGAACCAGAAACTGCATAATTTTACTGTTTTGTATTGTAATGTCAGAAACCCAGGTTTTTTACTCTCACAGAAAACAAATGTTTCTTTTAACTGAGAACTCAAAACACGTTGAAATGGGGGACAAGGGGGCATTGGCCACCCTACACCTGTGAAGGGGGGCAAAGCTCCCCCCTGGAACTCAGAGCTATCACATTTTTCAAATCAAAGCTTACTGTTCGGAATTGGGGGTTTGAGGGGAGCCCCACCCCCCAAATAAATATATATATTATTGAGGGGAATTATAAAAATCGAATTTTGAAGAAAAAAAAATTATATTTTTTAGGCTGTACATGTCACCTGCCCAGGGTACTCACGAGGTTCATAAATAAAATAATTTGGCCAGCCATAGCGAACATGTAAATTAAAGAAGAGCTTTATAAGATTACAAAAATGTCTATTTTCAAATAATTTTGTTTAAAGGAGAGATAAAGTAAAGTTCTTGTAAGGTAATTGATCTATTTGTGTGTACCTTAAACGTATCTAATAATTATAATAAACGTATATAATAATTATGCTTGATATCCAACTTGCGCCCAAGAGCCACGAAGCATCCTGAATTCTCAATTATGGGTGGATCCTGAGTCCACCTTGAAGCGCCCATACTCTGGTTCTCCAGGTCCTGGCATAACCCGGAGAAAATGAGTTCTAGATCCTCCAACCTTTTATATTCTCCGTTCCGTCTTCCGGACCTTTCAGTTCCGTTCAGTACAGGGAGAATACAGGGAGTATAGGGTAGAATACAGGGAGAATACAGGGAGTATAGGGTAGAATACAGGAAGTATAGGGTAGAATACAGGGAGTATAGGGTAGAATACA